GCCGTCATCCTCCTCATTCGCCGATCCTTCAGCCCACGCCAAGCACTTCATTTCGGCATCTCGCACGGATCCCTCATTTCGAGGGGCCCAAGCGAAAGCGACATGAATGGCTGGCGTCTATAAAGACTCGTCGAGATGACGGCCGGATCGTTCTTCACGACCACCACCATCCCGTCGTATCTTTCACTGCGTTCACACTCTCCTCTGGTCTGGCCATCGGCAAGCATGTCCACAATGTGCATCAGCAATGCTGACTGCTGGCCCTCACGAGCTGGCAGGCAGTCTTGCGGAAGGAGAACTGCGTCAAGACGCTGCTCAATCCCTTCATCGTTGTCGTCACCCCAGCGAAGCTCAGCCTGCAAGCAAGCGAGCTCAACACCAAAACTATCCCAACGATGGTCATTCAAGAGAACATACGACGTCATCACCTCCAATGACGTCGCAGCAGTGGACCGTCACCATCACTCCAATCAAGCGCCTTCCACACCCAGCTCTCGACGGGCGAACCGGAGGTGCTGAAGATGAAGCAGGAAGCTCAACAAAAATCATGAGGACTGCAACCAGCACATGCAATTCGTCACAATAGTCAAGACGCAGTCTTCGCTCGACATCGGCCTTCGCCTCTGCCATGCTCGACTTGCTTCACCATTGCTCTGCTTTGCGCTGTGCTTTTTTCATGAACAGGATGGGTATTACGCAGCTGAATTTAAAGTGTGGCATACCGCGTTGCTGGGCATGCGGTCGGCTTGTCTGGGCTGTCAGGGTCAGGCATCGACTCTCGGCGCGACGAATCATCCTTCATGGCAAAGCTCCGGGCTTGCGGCAGGATGCCTAGCTAGACTCACACAGTCAAAGGGCGCTGCGTAGGAAGCACGAGGATGCAGTGGTGCAGACGCGCAAATTTTTGCTGCGCCCTAACGCGTGCATGGTGAGTCGAATCTTCTCGACCCTGACTGTGGCGTGGTCGGCTCCAGGTGCACGAATCGTGACTCGTGAGTGACATATATACGCATCTATAGTTCCGGTGGCGAATGTGCAGCTGTTCGGTGAACGGCATCGTTCACAGCACGAGGTGGAGGTGAGGACGGCTCGGTCCCTACCGCGTGTCGCCCTCTCTCGTCGGGAGAGATCAGAGCTGATTAGACTGGCCCTGCTGACGTCAGGCTGTGTATCTTTGCCACAGGAGGCACGCATCTGGGCCAGGTGGCGTTTGTACCAGACGACGCGAAGACAATCGTTGCAGACAGGGGCGACTGGGAATGTCTCAGCAAATACGCCATTGGATACTTCCTTCGGCTCACGGTCGTTCAATCGCATTTCGTCATCATATGCCCTCCCATCATCAATCATCCTGACTCCTGACTCAGGTATGTCGTTCGTCAGGCGAACGCAGTGGGAAGCGATCATCTGTTGCGGCGGGGCGGCGCATTGTAACGGAGGATGGGGTGGCCCCATGCGCGCGCCGTGCTTCACGCCCGTATGCCTGCACGGTTCCCACGCCCGCTGACAAATTCTCCTAGCCTCCGACCGTCCACGTGACTATCTCTCCGACGCGCGGGAATTATCTACGTAGTGCAAAAAATAGTCGCCCTGACACCCGAGGCCCAGATGACCCATCACCCCAATGCGATTTGAGATTCGCGATTCTTTGAATCCCAAGGGCGTGAAGCTGGGCGCGTAATAGACGAGCGGGCATGACGTCATACTAGTCTAATCGATGGATTGCTGTGAAGCGGTGATGTCTGATGAGAGGTAACAGATCCTCATCCTAGCATCATCGCAACAGTCGGCATCGTACCTCACATGCAGCAATGCCAGCGTCGAAGTCATGTAGCATAGCTAAGCGTGAACTGTCGGATAGCTGTATGTAAGCCGCAAAACGGTGATGACCACCTCAATAGCGCCCGTCTTCCTCCAAAATCATTCGTGCTTCATCAACTTCTGTCCAAACTCCAGCTCAACGAAAGCCGACTCGAGGCGAATGCGACTCCGGGCTGGGATGGCGACCATTCTATATCATTTGAGAAGCTTACATCGCTTGTCGAATCACAACGCGCCCTGGTCTGCTGCGTCGACTTGACATGAAATCGGTACACTTGCCGGAAAAGCGTGGAAGCGATCATTGATCTTATGAGATCTTATGAACGCTCGAAACAATGTCACAGCATGAGCAAGTCTTGAGTGGTAGACCTCCTCACGCTCCAATTCCAATCACGTGAATACGTTCGCTGAGCGCAGTCTCCGCGCTCGATTCGTCTCATGCACTTCGTGATTGCGAGTTCGTTAGTGTGGCGACGCATCATCGACGATGTGGATGGGACGGAGCAAGAAAGGCCAAGGTATGGAACGAGTAACGCGCCCAAGGCACAATCGGGAGCAGACGACGTGCTGTCGTTCATCCAGCGATTTGTGAATGTCGAGCGCATCCACATCAACCCCGGCGTACAGGGCATTTTGCCCGCCCGCCGAGTCGGCGGTGAATCTTGGATTCTAAGAGAAGGCAAGGCTGCAGCTCGGGTGGTGGTTGCCCTGAGGGGATGTCGCTGCAGGAAACTCACACAACCTTGCCCTGCGAGTGAGTCTCAACAACCACAAATCATACAGACGAGACGAGGTTGCAGCTCAGGCCTCCATAGCCTATCGGAGTGGCGTCAGCGCAGTGAGACCACTCGCCAAGGCTATCATCCAGGTCCTGCCTCTTTTTCGGAGAACTGCTGAACCGCTCCAACGAGTCAAAGCGATGATGCCTCTCTTTGACGGAATCGCATTCAGGTTCCCTCAACGCTACCTGCGCTCTGCTTTTGGACCTCTCATTGGTGAGGTGCACCGATCATTGACATGCTCGATGTGCGAGAGGAAGTGGAATCTTGCTCAGAGGTGCGGCCCAGATAAGGTTGCGGACGAGAGCATCGCAAGGCGAGTGCGGTGCAGATCGAGAGTCTCGCCGAGTGATCAAAGGGGCTTCCAAGACGAGGAGAAGGGTTGGCTAGAGCTGGCAAAGACGAAACTCAAAATTCCACTACAAGCACACAAGCGCTATAGACGCAACGGCGTCGGTGAGGAACCCGATGAAGGAGTAAGGAGGGGGGAGAGAGAAGAAGAGAATCGGCTAGAGCCCGTCAAGTGGGTGATGGACCCACAAGCTGACGAAGCGATATTGAATGACAGTATGCTGAATTCAAGGAGCTTCACGTTGGCCGCGGTCGAGCCTGGTAGGCACGCACGACATTCATTGCGTCGCCCATCAGCTCAAGTGGTTGAGCAGGAGGTGAAGGGGAAGTTGACGTCCGTCAAGCTACGTCGAAGGCTGATGTGGGTATCGCGAGCTCATCATATTTCGCTCAGCTCTCCGTTCGAAGACAAGCACGCCGGCTTGACCGGAGGCGCAGGTACTGCGAACAAACACCTGAACATCCTGTACCACTGTCTCCAATTCGCAGCCCCCTCTCTTACCTTGACAAACACTCCATCATTAGACCGACACAATCTCAAAGACGGTGACTTCGAAAATGCATGTGTCATTGTTGCACAGCCGGACTACTCTTTACAAAAATTTGACTGCAGAAAAGTATTCCCAGTCTTGCTCGACCCATTTGAGCATGTAATCGTCTACGGTGCCTTCCAACTCTTCGTCTGCTTGTTCATCCGCATGCTGAGGCTCATCGCCTAGTCCAGCAGCAGTGGCAGAGGATGTGCCCTCCACACCATCACGACGTGCGGATGGAGCTTCTTCTTCTGCAAAGTCGATCGAGAGGTTCATCTCGTTTCTGGTTGCCCGGGCAGCTCTAGCATCTTCCTCGTCCTCCACAGCCAAGAAAGCCCTCTCGTCGTCCTTTCCGCCTTGGGCCTCAACGGATGTTCGGGCTTGCCCCTGTCCTTCCTCGGCAACAGCAGCTCCAACCTGTACACCAGCCAGCGTGGTACCTCCATCGTCCAACAAATCTCTCCACTGAATGCGAGCAAGGTGGTCCGTGGTGAAGTCGCCTTCCTGGACAACCAGGTCGTCCAATTGACGCTTTTGGCGTACTCTTCTCAGCATGTTCTCCTCGACGGTGTGCTCGGACACGAGCGAATAGATGTGCACATCGCGTTGCTGTCCGATCCTATGAGCTCTGTCGATCGCCTGGCTCATGCTGGCGTTGCTCCAGTCCAAGTCGAAGAAGCAAACGTTGGATGCACCGGTGAGATTCAAGCCAAGACCTCCTGTGCGCGTCGACAAGATGAAAGCAGAGATGCGTGTATCCCTGTTGAACCTCTCCGTCAGCACCTGGCGCTGTTCGATCTTTGTTGCCCCATCCAGACGAAAGTATCGATAGCCTCGCCAGTTGAGAAACGTTTCGAGAATGTCGAGCACGCGCGTCATTTGCGTAAAGATCAAGACGCGTTCGCCAGCAGCTTTGAACTTGCGCATCAAGACGTCCAGCTGTTGAAGCTTTCCGCAGTCATACTGCAGCAATGACGCATCGGGAAACGCAATGTTGAGCTTGACCGCCGGCTCGTGAAGCGTGTCGAAGCTGGATGATAAGAGCTCGGGAGGGCACTTGTCATAGGATAGGCCTGGCAGAGCCCAGCGAGGCATATCCGTCGCTACAGCGCGTGGCGTAACAAAGGCGAAGCGATCAATATAGTCTTGCAACGCCCCTCGTCTCGTTTCGAGCGGCACAAAGAGCCGGTGAGCTGCATCGCAACGAGAAAGATATTTGCGGGTTTCCTGCGCCGCGAGACCAAACGGCAAGAAGCGCTGCTGGTTGCCGAGCAGTCCTGCTATCCGCATCAATCCCTCGCCGTAGTAGGGCTTCCTGGAGCAGCGAAAAGCATTGATGTAGCTGTTGTGCTGAAATTTCAGCATTTCCTCCGCATGGGCATGCTGCTGCAGGCCACGTCGCAGTCCTTCCACGGTGTACGTGTCCAGCGGCTCCTTGTCGGGCACAGCTTTGCCCACGAATGGCAGCTTTCCAGAAGCGTCCAATCGTGCGAGATCGCGGGTGTATATTGGCGACAGGTGCTCGTTGCTGGTCAAGTTTAGGCCGAGTGCTTGCAGACTTATCGCTTCGTCTTGACCTCCTTGCAAGAGCTCGCGACGAACGAGCATCTCTTTGATTTCGTAGTCGGCCACTGCGGATCGATGCATTGCAAAGCTAGTGACGATTGGTCGTTCCTCGAACAGGTCGGGGTGATTGCACACTTTTCTTAGTTGCATGAGGACGTTGATGACGCTGAGGTAATTGCCACTGGCCAGGCTCTCCCTCGTCTTTGTCCTAGACATGAAGTCGTTGTACAAGAAGCGCTGCCTTTTTGACAATCGACAATAGACGACGTGCTCGACCTTGCTAGGCAGTTCCTTTTCCACGTCCTTTTTGAGTCGGCGCAGCAGATAAGGTCTCAGGAGGGTGTGCAACTTCTGCACCATCTCCCTCATCTCTCCGTTCATGCGCTCTCCGCTCTCTACGGCCTTGTCGAGCGGGTTGGAGAACCAAGCTTGAAAATCTTTCATGCTTGCAAACGCAGCTCCGGCTGCCGCCGTGCCACCACCCTGCCCGTTCGCACCGCCGTTGCCGCTCGCGGCCATACTCTCCGCCATGCCAGGCGGCATGAGAAAGTACATTAAGCTCCACAAGTCCATGAGATTATTTTGTAGCGGCGTGCCCGTCAGCAGCAGGCGTCTCTGCGTGTTGAAGCCGAGCAGGGTCTGCCACCGTTGGGAACGAAAGTTCTTGATGTGGTGAGCTTCGTCAAGAACGAGGTAGACCCAAGGCTTGCGTCTAAAGATGTGCTGATCCGCTAGGACGAGCTGGTAGCTTGTGATGCAGACATTGAAGCTGTCCACAGTGTTCCACCCTTTTCGCTTCTCTTTGCGCTCCTTTTGATTTCCATAGTAGGAGAGGATCTTGAAGCCGGGCAAGAACTTTTTGAACTCGACTTCCCAATTGAGCATGACGCTGGTAGGTGCAACGACGAGGTGCGGGCCCCAAACGCCCTTGTCGCAAGCCAGGTGAGCCAGGAGGGAAATCGTCTGGATCGTCTTGCCCAGTCCCTGACGTGAGAAGATGTTTCGCGCGTCAGCAAGCGGCGAGATCGTCCCAGCATCGCTCGCACCACCACAAACGCACCATTTCATCGGCTAGAATACCGTTTGCATTGTTGGCATAGAGGCTAGCGAGCCATTCAAAGCCAATCTGCTGATAAGGTCGAAGATTGCCGCGCAAGAGAAAAGGAGGCTTGATCCTGTAAGCGCTGGGATTCGGTCCGCTGAGAGTCGAAGGAGCAGCGGAAGAAGCGCCAGTGGGCGAGCGAGAGCGAGGTGCGGGCGATATGACACTACCGTTCGTCTCGCTGCCCGCTTCGGCAGGACTTTTGCTGTCGCTTTCGCCAGGCGGGCTAGAAGATCGGCCGACGGAGCCCGTGTCGCTATCGTCATTAGCGAAGCCAATCTCTTCGATGAGAGGCGGAGCCTCCTGCATCGTTCCGACGCCATCCGACTTGTACCTTTTCAAGAGCTCCTCGAGCGGCATGTCGGCGTCCGCCGCCAACCCATCGTCTTCCTCCGAGTCGCTCTCGTCCTGAGCCCACATGGCAGCCTCCAATTCTGCATCCTCCGTCTGAACGTGGTCGTCCTGAGAGTGGAAGTCTTGAGGTCGGTCCGCATCGCTAGCGTCTTCGACCGCATCCGATTCAGAGCTCTGGCTTGGCGACGCCTTTGGCATCGGCTCGCCAAAAGAACGGCGCAGAGCGACTTTGCTAGTGGAAGCAGCGCTCTGGTCATCATGACGCGCCGTCGCTGCGTGTCGTCCATTGACACCGTTCACCTTGGAGCTGGACATTCTTTCACTTGAGTCGAAGTCGTCGTCAAGGAGGAGCAAGCGCGAAGCGCGTGGGCTTCCCGTCTCTAGCGTAGACTGCTCGGTGCTATCTCGCGATGCCGTCGATGCGCTGCTTCGCCTATCGTGTGAAGACGTGTCCGAATCTGCCTCTTCTTCGTCTTCCTGAGCCTCCAGCTCGGACTCTTCGCTATCGCTGCCCGACGCACCTTCACGAAGAGATGCAGCGCTCGCATCGCTCATCGTTCCATAATCGTCCGACTCCAGCGATTCCTCCTCCTCCTCCTCCTCCTCCAATAAAGCGTTGCTGTTCTCCCCTTCGCTGCTATCCAGATCCGATTGAGCAGCCTGAAGGTCCAAAGCGGATTGCTGCCTCCTCAACCTCTGAGCGCTTTCCTCCAAGATGTTTCTCAATTGACGTCTGCCCAATCTGTCCCTCTCTTCCTTTGCCTCCTTGTCCCTTTTAGCCCGCACAACCGACTGGGCCAACTTCCACTGCCTGCCCACCTCCCTCGACGTCCACTTGGCCAGCATCTTGATCCTCCTCTCTTCCGCCTTGACCTGCCTCTCTCCCGTGCCCAACTTTTCGTCCCAATAAGCCTGCACAAGTCTGGCGACCCTACGCGCAAGCTGCATCCTACCCCTCGTCTCCACTCTCCACTTTGCCGCCACATTTGGCACATTGCCGACGATTGTAGACCAAGCGTTGTCTGATCGGTCAGGTTCCTTGGCCGGTCTAAGCGAGGCCGCACTGGCCCTCTGTTCGGGTAGCCTTCCCTCGCTTCTCAGCTTATCCATCTTGATCCACGTCTCCAGCGCACAAGCTTCCCCAACCTCGCGCTTCTCCACACTGACCTCTTCCCAGTGCTCCGAAGCCGTTCCCGCCAAGTTGAAGCTCGACCACAGCGCATCCACATTGCCCGCGAAACGCGAAGCGCGGGGCACCTGATCGTGATGCGTGTAGGCCGAGGCGGGGTACCTGTGCGCCCCTCTTCCTCTTCTAGGAGGCGGAGCTCGAAGCGATGGCGGCAATAGAGGTGGTGGATTCCACGGGTCGATAGGTAGGGGAGCAGGTCGGCTGTTTTGCTTCTTTGAGCGCCAAGTCGATTCGATTGGCGAGGGAGAAGGCATGCCCTCGATCAGAGACCTTTCCCTCATTCGATGGCTTCTTGCGGCCGCTTCTGTCAGGGTGGAAGTGGAAGCGCCTGGTGTTGCCGAAGCGGAAGCAGAGGTGCTCGGCTCATCATCGCGTGACCTCCGCACCGACAACCTTTGCCTCTTTTCTCTTCTCTCTGCACGCGCCTGCTCCTCGTCGTCCACCGCTCGAGCTTTGCCCTTGTGTCGCAGCGAGCTGGCAAGCATTTTGGCGTGCGCTCGCGCAGCGCCAGGTATGGCTAGGTCTTGTATGCGACTCGAGACGACACGTCGAGTGGCGCGTCTGCCTGAACCGGGGGCGCTGCTGGAAGAGCCATTGACTGCGCCTTCAGAGTCAATCTTTAGGGTCAAGTCGTGTTCTGCTTGCCAGCGCTGCCAAACTGCGCTGTTGTCCTTCGCGGCTTCCTATCGATGATGATTGCGTAGGGTAAGCAAGGGTCAGCGGGCGTGTCACATGAGTCCAGATAGGAACCCCAGTTGAATGTCATATCGAGCCATTCACGATCGCCTTGGCTTTTCCAGTGCTCATTCACAGCCCACACCTCTCCTCTGCACCTGGAGCGCGCGACGGGTCTCGACCCTAGCTCCCGCCTCTTGCGCTTCCACACCGCATGCCCGACGAAGGCGCACACGGGCGCCTATCACGCAGCGCCGCGACCTACATCCCCCGCCGTCGGTCGAACAGGATCTTTGCAATTGTCGCCTGCCAAACCTCTCGCCCATGATAGACCCCGCCTCGTGATCCCATCGCAGCTCTCATGCTTCTCTTTCGACTTGGGTGCGTCCCAGGCTTTCTCAGGACGTCGTGATTCTCCCCAAGTCCAGCGCAAGAGAGCGACCCCATTTTACTCTCCAAAATCGGCACGAGAGAGCGACGAAATGCTGCTCCCAAGATCCCGCCTGCCCCGAGAAACATCCCAATGCTCCTGCTGAGTCCCCTTCTCGCATCAGAAACATCCCCAACGCTCCTGCCGAGTCCCCACCTCGCACCGGAAACAGTCCCAAACGCTCCTGCCGAGTCTCCCCCCCGCCCCCCCCC